CCCCAAAACCCCAAAACCCCAAAACCCCAAAACCCCGCGAAGTCATTTAAAGTCGAAGATTAAGAAACTTGGAAATTGTGAGTAAATATTTAAGCAATATAAATTAAGTTATACGTATTAATGAAACTACAAAGGATTTATCCTGTGTTTTGTATAATATTTTAGTTTAACTATCCGTAATATAACAAAGCTCAAAAGAACTTCAATTATTTAAGGAAGTCCTGATCAAAGACTAAAGCTTCGACAAGGTCAATAGTTTATCTTTTGTGTCAGAGTAAATTTAGTTTAACCATGAAGATTCTTTTGTGGATGTCTTTTACAATGAATTTCCTCGATCAATTTTTTCTTTTTTATCTAATTAAGACAGAGCTTCAAGAATAAATTGATTGCTGTCATCTTTCTTGCTCATAATTATTCGATTTTAATGATTTCTGTATTTAGAAGTTCCTTAATGTTTTTATAATGTTTGAGAGTCAGGAGATCTATAACTGTCACTTTCTTTTTCTTCCTCTCTCAACTCATTCATATTTGCCTTTTTGAGGCAATTTTGTTTAAGCTCATAATTTTTAGTATTCGTAGATTGGAAATTATTTTTAATGGGTGTAAAAATCTCACAAATCTTATTTTGGGATTCTAAGGATTTGCATCTTTGCTGTTACTCCGCATTAGCAATCTCCCTTCTTCTTTGTTTGAAACTTGAATTATTTCCACGATTTCTTATTATCAATTAATCGCTGTTATTTCCATCTAAATATATATTTAAGTATAATACAATTCTTACGAAGCAAGGTCTAGGAATTATTCATATTATGCAGTATCTCATCTTAGCAGTCATAGTATTAAGTACCGCCTGGCCCGATCACTGATGAAGGCATTTTGTTGAAAGTAAATTAGATGTGTTGGCTCTCCTTGATAGAAATTTAACTTTGCCCATTTTAAAAACTAAAGACTTAGTCCATTTCACAATGAGTATATGGAAAATTTTGCTATGACATCTGTCTTAAAGATTGTTATTGCTATTATATTCGATTTATTTATAAGTGATTTCTTTGTAAATTATTTCCTTTGTTATGCATGAGAATGCTTCCTTTGGAAACTAGATTATATTTTTAGAATTTATCTTAGATAGAAACTCCATCATCTCTTTCATTTATGATGTCGTTTTGAAACTCTGCAGAGACAATTGAGTCAATATACATCTAGCTGTACTCCATTTTATTATTGATGAATAGTTTAGCAAGTAGATTATTTTTTAAATCTCTTTAATATTTATTTACTAGTTGATAAATGTATGATTTATAATAATAATACTTCTATTAATATCTTCTAAAAAATACGAGAATTCCGTTTCCCCTATTTTGATTCCTCCTAATTAGCCATTAATCACTGTTGACGGGGTTTTGGGGTTTTGGGGAGATCGGAAGAGCGTCGTGTAGGG